TAAAGTAGAAAATAATTGATTAAACAAAATGAATAAGTATTCTTTTAATAAAATACGAACATTATTTGATGGATGATACATAACATCGATAACACGTGTCTTTTTAGCGATACCTTCTGAACCCCAAGAAAAATTACCAATATCAAGACGTAAAGCTCGATATTTTTTATTTCCACCTCGTGTTCGTACAGTGTGAATACGTTTGGCACCTAATTTGGTCATAGCAGCTGGTCGACCTAATTCGAATTTTCGTTTTTTATGTGGTTGAGGTCGTTTACCACCAGTTTTCCGGCGTTTATGCCAATGATCTCGACTAATACCCATCTTTTTTTACGAGGATGGTTCAATAAAAATAATCTAAAACGTTTTTCGAAATGTATTTTTCATGTAAATATAAATATATGTAAAAAAAAAATATATAATCATTTGAAGAATCCATTTTTAGTAGTATGAATAACTAACCACTGAAAAATATATACAAGGAGGACAAATAAAAATAAATAAATAATTTTCTTAATAAAATTTTATGAGAAAGTTTAACTTAGATATGTATTTATCAAGATTATTTTAATAAAAAAAGATATTTTTTATAGTTTTATTTTTAATGCGACCTCTAACGAAATAACAATCTTTGGTTTATGAGTAACCAATAGAAATCTTCATAAAAAAACACATTCATTTATTTATTATCTTATAAAAGAAACATTAATATGTATAAATATTTCTCGAAGAAACTGTATTACTAGTAAAGCAAATAGTTCAGCTCTGGAAATAAATTTTTCAAAGTTTACCTTATTCAGGACAGTTTGAATAAATTCTCTATATGATGTACACCAAATCAATAATATAGGATAGCCGTTGATAATAATAAACATATTAAGTTAATCGATCCGATTGATAGAATAGGGTATATTTTTTCATTTATTTGTTTCTAGATGGCAAAAAGTAAAAGAAGTAAACATATGCGCGCAATGCGCAAACTCCTTCGTGAAAAATTATCAAAAAAAGATGAAGTTAAACGCTTAGCATCAATGAAAAAAGATAATCTAATTCGTAAATGAATTTTTTTTTGTTCCATTAAAATAATTTATTTTTTCTTTCTTAGCATCAACTGTACCAATAAAAGAATCACCGATTAATGATGGTAATTTGAATTAAATATAAAGATATATTTTCATTTTGTTTATAAAGATATGCAAGTTGGTGGTAGTGGTGCTCCAGCAGAATTCAATAGTCGAACATTGAGAAATAAAGATGGCCAATTTCCATCATGGTTAAGTGGTCGTCAACGAAAACGTTTAACAGCTAAACAAGCCATTGTCAAAAGAAACGAAAAACAGAAAAAAGTTAAAAAGAATCCTGGTAAAATTACTAAACGAAAAAATCAACAAAAGAATAAAGTTTCAGATAATTCTGAATCCATGTTAACTTAATTCATTGTTTTGTTAATAAAAGAAAAGAAAAATATGCTGATAAATGTTATCTACATTTTTTTTTAATTATTATTATTTGTTTCAACTTGATTTTCTTACATAACAAAATGACTACTGCTAACTAATTTAAAAAGTAAAAATCCGTTGTTTTCGAATAATCACCTAAATCGGTATTAGATCTCATATTTTAATAAATACGAATAATTCTAGCATAATAGTATCAGCTATGTTCAATGCAGTGATAAATGTAAGTAGATTACAAAAACGATAAAATGAAGAAGACCAGTTTTTCTATCTTTATTTGATCGGTAAAACGCGTATTAGACTTAAAATACGGTTGTACGTCCCAATGACTTGGAACTGGTTATAGATAAGTAATAATATTATATATATCATAGTTGTTTATTCTGTTGTTTTTTGTTCTTTTATTAAAATAATGAATCATATTTCTTTGTAGATTTTATTTATTTATTTTTCTTTAAATCAATAATCATATTTCGACAAATATTTCGTCGAATCATTACTTCAGCTAATGGTTCTGGCGATAATGCTGTTGCTGATAAAATCAAACAATTAATTACCGATCATCAAGTGATTGTATTTTCTAAAACTTTTTGTATGTTTTTTATTTATTTGAAAAAAAAACGAAATTTATTTTATATTTATAGGTCCATATTGTGTCAAAGCAAAAAATGTTCTTAATAAATATAAATTAAAAGATTATAAAGTTATTGAACTAGATGAAATTGATAATGGAAATGAATATCAAAAAGTTCTAGGAAAAATTACTGATGCTAAAACAGTTCCACGTGTATTTATTGCTGGAGAATGTATTGGTGGCGGTGATGATACAGAAAGATTAGATAGAAATGGTGATTTAGAAAAAAGATTAAAAAAAATTAATGCTATTGACAATTAAAATTTATTAGAATTTAAATATTTAGTCAAGCACATTTTTGTTTTATAATACTTTCTTGTCTAATCATTAAAAAATAATTTTAGATAATGACTGCAACAAATAGTGATAAAGAAAAAGATCTTGAAAAACTTTTCAAGATTATTCATAATGTTAAATATGCTATGTTAACAACAGTTAATGAAGATGGTACACTTCACAGTCGGTAATGAAATTTATTTTTATAATAAAAAGAAAAAAATTGAATTTTTATCTCTTAGACCAATGATTAATAAACAAGCTGATTCATTCCATGGTGAACTTTGGTTTTTTACTCAACGAAGTGGTAAATCATTTTTATAAGAAATTCGTAATAATTAAATGTCATTTTTTCAGCACATAAGGTTACTGAAGTGAAAAAAGGTTCCGAAGAAGTAAATGTATCATACGCTGATCCAGAAAATCAATCATGTTTGTATTTTTTTCCTATTATTTATAATCAAAAAACATTTATTTCTTTAAAAGATGTATCAATTAGTGGTCGAGCAGATTTAGTTGATGATCATACTAAAAAGAAAGATTTATGGAGTGATACTTTGAAAGTTTGGTAAACTAAATTTGATAAAAATAAATTTTCCATATATATAGTTTTGTTCTTCTTCATCTAGGTTTCCAAAAGGTCTTGATGATCCTGATGTAACATTACTTCGGTATGGAAATAAATATATTAGTTTTTAAATATATCTGAAATTTTTCTAGTATTACAATTATTGAAGCTGAATATTGGGATTCATCAACAACTGTTATGCAAAAATTATATGGATTAGCTAAAGCATCAATCTTAGGTGATCATACAGCATTAGCTGGCGAAAATAAAAAACTCGTCTTAAATTAAAGCAATACATTTCTTTTTCCATTCTATTCAAGCAAATATTTTAGAATTAATGTTGTCAGTTTATAAAAAAATTCTAATCAAGCATTTCAATCATTTTTTAATCGAATAAAATTCTAATAATAAATAAATATTCTTATTTTTCCATGATAAAAGATGTATTCAAGATTATTTGGTACTTCCTGTATTCTAATATAATTGTCGGCACGATAGTTTATGTTCTAAAATAGAATTGTCTCGTATATAAGTTGAATAAGAAAGTATCTTATTTATTCTACCCATAGGCTTACAAACAATAATATATAACGTGACCAGAAATGAAACATTTTGTAAATTTACAGATAAAGTAAAGTCATATATTCATCCAGACGAGAGAACGGTTAATATTTCAAACTAATCAACATAAAACTGTTTTATATATAGTACATGATAATAGATTTATTATTGATATCAAGACATCTCTATGATAGAAATAGGAAATTTTCAATAGTGTAGATACATTATTTGACTTTAATTTTCTAGACATCTTTTAATGTCATAAGAAAATTGTTTATTTTTCGAAACCATAAGTAATTTATTAGTAATTGATGTATAATTGAATTCAAGCAATTAATAATATAGGAGATCGAAATATGAATTTAATTTTTTCTTTCGCCCACTAGGAACTAGTTTTCATAATGATCAACTTTCGTAATTTAAATTAATCTCTAATGAAGTAGATATACCAAAACATACAAGCTATAGATGCAATTAAATTAGTAAGACAACCCCTTCCGACAACTCATGAGGGTTTCTTTCACATGATAATGAGTATGATGATTGTTCATCATTGATAGCGAATGGAACAGCAGAAGAGAGAGAGAGAGAGAGAATAGTTTTCTTTTTGAGCATTCCTATACCGAAAAAAATACATCCTACGCATATTGATCCGTTTTTTCTTCTCATCTCATGTTGAGATATTTTTTATAAATACAACGTTATAACTCAAACTATATTCATTTTATCGTCTATCTAGAATAAACAACACATCAACATGCAATCCACATTCATTGTCCGAATCACTATGGCCATGTGCCTCATCTTTTTATTGTTCACTGCTGTTCTCTCTGCACCCAGTGTAAGTATTACTTTCTACTAATTTTACAATTATGATTAAATATATTCTTTTATTTCTAGTCATCCGACTCAAAAACAGAGTAAGATCATTATATTTTCGTTTTCGAAAAACTATATAATAATATATATTTAGATCCAATGCACGAGTAGCTCGCTCAGCATATAGTGAATCTGAAGATGATCTTATGAATTATTGTCAACATTTCTGTTTTAATAATGCATTTACAAAAAGGTAAACACACAAGTTCTTATTTAAACAATTCATATATTATTTTAAAAATGTATATTTTTAGAGCTGCATTGAAAGGTTTTGTTCATGGCCGATCAATCAATGATGATAGTGAAATGCAAGATATCAGCGACGATCTTCTTGAAAAACGTTTCGTACATGGCAAACGTTTTGTTCATGGTTAAACATCCTTTTAAATAATTCTTTTTTCAATTCAAATGAAAAAAAAACCAAAAACATTTTATTCATATGCGTGTCATTCTAATTGAAAAAAAATTCTTTTAATAAAAAAAAAATTCAATATGATCATCACTGACATCTTATGGAAAAAAGTTTATATTTCTTGTTCGTTTCCTTTGACAACGATTGCGAAAAGAAAGAGAAAAAAAAAGGCAGCAGACTTTGAGACGACTTATCGCCTTAATTCTATCAATAATGTCGAAAGCATATTCTCAATGTAAAATAAATAATCAAACAATTTTACATGAACATATTGATGAGAATTATGAACCAACTGAAGATGAAATTCATGAATATGCGACATATATTGGAATTGATCCAGATAAAGTAAATAAATAGAGGAATACTATTGAATAAAAGATGAATTTTGATTAGGAACTAGATCTTCTTTGGTTAGCGAAAGAAGGTCTTATGAAACCATTACCATCTGGTTGGAAAGCATGTCAAGAAGAAAATGGCGAATTATATTATTTTAATTTCGATACTGGTAAATCATCATGGGATCATCCATATGATGAAATTTATAAAACACGTGTTATTCAAGCACGGTAGGAATGAAGTTTTTATTATATTCATACGAGTAAAGTATTTCTAGAGAAAAGAAATCTTTAGCAACAATCATAATTGATACACATTCAAAAGGTAATTTTTTTCTGTGTACGAAAAAGAAAAAGGAAAACATCGATTTTTTTCGTAGGAAAAAATACGTTAAGTATAAGTGATTTATCAAGTGAAAAGAACTTATATAATGTACAAATGAGTGGAAAGAATGAAACAGGAGATAATCATTGCGGTAAGAAAATATTATTGAAAAGAAAGTGATATTAAAAATTCATTTTTCGTAGATTCTCAAGGTATGAACAGTGGTTCAGATGTGGAATTAGATAATAGTGAAAATGATAATGGACATAGTAGTAATGGCTTTCAAAAAGACGTCGATTTTGGTAAATAATTTTTCCGTTTATATAAATACACTACAAAAGAATGAGAGTGAATTCAAACACTTATGATACAGATAAGAGATCTAAGAATGTATAATATTACACTTGAAAGTTCTGCTGAAATAAAATGTGTTCTTGACAACTATTTAACTCAATAGAACTATTTTATAAGAAAAAAAAAGGATCATGTGTATTAATATTAGGTATTGATCCTCAATTATCAGCACGTATACATGAAGATGAAAACGAACCATTAGCAGTGGTTGCTACATCTCATCCAATGTCTTCCGCTGATGCTATAGGTATATGAACATTTTTTTTCATGTCATACGTTAAATTGCGACATTTGATTTGATTTTATAGAAGATAATGAACGAGTAAAATTTGCTAATTTAGCTGCACAAGCTGCTGAACGTCGTTTAAGTGCAAATAAACTTACAAATGATGTAAAATTTGATTTATTAGATAATAATCATATTTGTTTTCTTTTTACTCAGGAACCTATTCTAATTACACCACGTGAAGATATTGAACTTACTAAGCTTCGAAAACGACTTGAACAGTATAGCAATTCTTAGCTCTAATTTTATCTGATGAAACGTTTTTTCATTTATTAAGATCTGCAAATGAAGAAAAATTACAATTACTTGAAGATAATCGAATCTATATTGAAAAACTAAAAACAGAATTACAATTAGCAAAAGAACAAGAAGAACGAACATTACGTGATAAAATGAAATCTGATTTAACGTATGAAAAAAACATTTTACATTTTCATCACTTGATTTCCTTTATTTTGTTAGTTCAATCGAAAAAAATCTTCAAGAAAATTTATCTCGTGAAAAAAAATTACTTATGACTCGTCAACAAAATGAATTGAATACTATGAAACAAAATATTGAAAAAGAAAAACAAGAATTACAAAAGAAACTAAGGTATTAAAAAAAAATATATAATTCGTTTATTTAATATAGTAAATATTAATTTCATCTAGAGCTGATATGTTATCAGATTTAAATCTTGAACAACAAGATAATGTAAATATGCAAATACGTTTATTACAAATAAAACATGAATTTGAAGAGGTTTAATTAATTTCGAATAAGAAATTATTAATACTCGTATTTATCATATTTAGAAACTACGCAATGCAGAAAATCGATATAAAAGTGAAATTGAAGATTTAACACGACGTTTTGAAAAGGCCAAGATTGATAAAGATACATTGGACAAACGTTTAAAAGAGGTAATTATTTGATATTCTTCCCGAGCTCAAACGAGTGCTTGTACTTGAAAAAATGTACTTGTATTTAAACTTGCCTTTTCATAAGTATACTTAATATTGAAGTGAACTACTTCTGATAAATTTTACAAGACTATCATAATATGGGATAATGATGACAACTTTTTTCGAATAGAAAATAGATAACTAAAAAATTTATTTATAGAAGAATGATTTTTGTTCGACGATGCAACGAACAATGGAACAATTACGTGGAGAGAAATTATCATTAGAACGAAAATTACAAGATACTGAAGCAGAATTAAAGACAATTGATAGTAGTCAACGACAAGTACAATCATCTCATACACGTAAATCATCAACCAAACATATTGATGATGATAATGATAATTCTAATCTCGATCAAACTTTTAGTAATAATAAAAGTACTTTTCTTAATAATAATAATAATATTAATGATAATGATGATGATGAAGGACTAAGTGATACGGATAGTGATATTATCGAAATGCAACAAACATTAAATGCACTTAAACATATGTCATTTCTTCCAACACTTAATATTTCCATGAATAATAATAAGAAGAATGAAAAAATAAATAAAAAATCTACAACAATTGATTTCGTTAATAATGATATTAGTCCAATTTTACGAAATATTCCATTTGAAAGAACATTAAATTCATCGTTAATTGATTCTGGACGATGGTCAAATACGATGCCATCAACTATTGGTAATAGTACTTATCCATTAGGAATACAAACTATGCAACAACATCAACCATCCGTATCGAAAAATAATTATTGGCAATCACAACCAAGTTTAATTACAAGAGAAGCTGTTTTAAAAGCTGCACGTGATGTACTTCCACCTGGTGTTATTGATCATTTAACATCAACAAATTAATTAGTGCAAAATATTATCAATAAACTTATACAAAAAAACGAATATTTTTTCATTTTATAGTTCGATTTAGTTAACCCGGTTTTATATTATATTATATATTTGAGAAAGATAACCATTAGATTAAACCATATGCTAGATTGTTTATTCTTTTTTATTTTTATTTTTTACACTATAAGAAGCATTTTTATTGTATTTTGTTTTTCTGCAGTGATTTATCCAGCTTATTTAGTTAACTTTAGTTATATAGATAATGTAAAGAGTCACGTTTTATTGTTCGATAACAGTATGATAAAATAAATATTAATTTTAATACTAGAACAGTATTATTTCCTGTATGAAAAAAAAGAAATCTTCATTCAAAACGTTAATATAAATGTGCGACCTCTTTTATGTATGATACACATCCATGCATTACGACGTTGACAGTAGCCATTATTGTTTCCTCTTTGATTGCAACGTTGCGTTAATCTTACTTTGGTATTTATTGGAAAGAGAATAGATTCGTGTCTGTATAGAGAGTATAACTACTAAACGATCGGTGGTTGATTTTCTTATTTTTATTTTTGGACAATCATTAGAACCGAGTAGAAATCTTATAGAAAGATGGGTATCAAATTTCTTGAATTCGTCAAGCCATTCTGTGCGCTCATACCAGAAATTCAAAAACCTGAACGTAAAATTCAATTCCGTGAAAAAGTTTTATGGACCGCTATAACATTATTTATATTTTTGGTATGTTGTCAAATTCCACTTTTTGGTATCATGTCATCAGATTCAGCTGATCCATTTTATTGGTAAGTAATAGACGACAAAAAAAAAGAAGAAAAACAAGTAAAATTTTATATATATCTAGGATTCGAGTTATTCTTGCATCAAATCGTGGTACATTGATGGAATTAGGTATTTCACCAATTGTTACATCAGGTCTTATCATGCAATTATTAGCCGGTGCAAAAATAATTGAAGTCGGTGATACACCCAAAGATCGTGCACTTTTTAATGGTGCACAAAAACTCTTTGGTATGGTTATTACTATTGGACAAGCAATTGTTTATGTTATGACTGGCATGTAAGTTAAAATAATAATAATAATAATAGTAAATTATTTAAATTATAAAATAAATTTAGGTATGGTGTTCCATCAGAAATGGGTGCTGGTGTTTGTCTTTTAATTATTATTCAATTATTTGTTGCTGGTCTTATTGTTTTATTACTTGATGAATTACTTCAAAAAGGTTATGGTCTTGGTTCTGGTATATCATTATTTATTGCAACAAATATTTGTGAAACAATTGTTTGGAAAGCATTTAGTCCAGCAACAATCAATACTGGTCGTGGTACTGAATTTGAAGGTGGTATTATTGCATTATTTCATTTATTAGCAACACGAACTGATAAAGTTCGAGCATTACGCGAAGCATTTTATCGTCAAAATTTACCTAATTTAATGAATTTACTTGCAACAGTACTTGTCTTTGCTATTGTTATTTACTTTCAAGTATGATTTCTTATTTGTTTGTTTTCAAAATAATTATATTTAAATTTTCTAGGGTTTCCGTGTTGATCTTCCAATCAAATCAGCTCGTTATCGTGGTCAAACATCATCATACCCAATTAAATTATTTTATACATCAAACATTCCAATTATTCTTCAATCGGCACTTGTTTCAAATTTATACGTTATATCACAAATGTTAGCAACAAAATTCTCCGGAAATTTTCTTATTAACTTATTAGGTGTTTGGGCTGATAATGGTCCACAACGTTCATATCCTATTGGTGGTTTATGTTACTATTTATCACCACCAGAATCATTTCAATCTATGTTAACAGATCCTATCCATTTTATTCTTTATATTATATTTATGCTTGGTTCATGTGCATTTTTCTCTAAAACATGGATTGATATATCAGGTTCAAGTGCAAAAGATGTTGCTAAACAATTAAAAGAACAACAAATGTAAGTTGATTAAGATTCGTAGATAGATAATTATTTATTTGATTTGTTTGAATAGGGTTATGCATGGTCACCGTGAAAAATCAATGATTCATGAACTTAATCGATATATACCAACAGCAGCTGCTTTTGGTGGTTTATGTATCGGTGCATTATCAGTTTTAGCCGATTTACTTGGTGCAATTGGTTCGGGTACTGGTATTTTATTGGCTGTTACAATTATTTACCAATACTTTGAAATCTTTGTCAAAGAACAGAATGAACTCGGTGGTATGGGCACACTTCTATTCTAAGATACAATCTTTTTTGTTTTCATTCTTGTCGGTATATTCATTGTTTTTTTTTTCTTCTCTTATTTATGTTGTATTTGTTTTGTATGTGTGTATGCTATTTTACCAAAAGAGAGATGGAGATTATATAAACGGCTTTTCTGTTTTTATTTAACGATGGAATGAGATGTAAAAAGAACATTTCGACTTGTTTTTGAGATGATACGATGAAGTAACGTAGTTTCTAGTTAGTATTCGTTTTTTTCTTTTTCAATGTTCTCTCTCTCTCTCTCTCTCTCTCTTTCTCGTTTCTTGTTATTGTTATATCGTTGTTGTTTTTACTTTAAACTGAACTGTTTTGTGACAATATGATACCTGAAAAGAGAAACGATATATCAGAAAACAAAACGGCATAATATATTATTGATTATTTAAACTAATTTCTTATTGTCTTTTATCTTTGATAACAATGATGTCACACAATTCATCAATTTTTGGTTTTATATAAGTTTTTACTAAAAGGAAAAAATATATTTTAGAAGATCTGTGAAGAATAAATCAATTTATTAAGGAGTAGAATTATATCACGCTTATGAATATTTAACTGAAAGCTTTTTTAGCAGAATCAATTGAAAATAATCTTGTATGTTTTTGTAAAACATGAAAGCACACCTCATATAATAATAATAAAATCGTTATTTTATTGTGATTAAGTATTCTGTTATATTCTTCATAACGGTGTATTATTTTTAACATTTACAATATCCAGTACCTTATCCACATTAAAAATATATTCGCTCGCTTTCTCTCACTTAACTCTCGGTAAAATAGCGGACTTCAAGATTTCGAATACTTCGATAGATTTCTCAAGACTTTTAGAAACTTCATAAAACTTCCGATGACTCCGTGAAATTTTGGAAACTAAATAAAATTTCTACTATCGATGGGTATGGGTGTGAATTGGGAACACAGATACTCACACTCTCAGTCATGTCCACCCACATAGAGAACAAGCTTAGCAAAAAAACCCTAGTTAAAAGATATTAATTCGAATATGTTCATTTATTACTTTAAAAAATAGTTCATAATTCATAATACAAATATAAAATTAAAGCAAAAACCAGTTTATTTGTATTCATTGTTTTATTAAATGATGAATCCGATGATGAATCTAATTCATCATCGATGACCACGGAATTGGATGCTGTGCTAGTCCCATGTTGATGATGACATCATCATCATCATTATTATTGATTACCATTGGATCGGCTGCTGTGTTGATTCTATCTTATTGATGTTGATGGGTGTGGGTGGGTATGAGTGTAGGTGTGGATATTAGTTAGAGATCGCACCCACACCCACACACTAACCATTGATTTTTAAGTCGATATACTTTTAATTTTTGATCTCTGACCCGACGACAAGATCGCCCACATACTCGTTTTAGTTTTTTCCATATAATCCTTCCTTTAGTGGAGAGAATAATTATCTATTATTGATTGATATGTGATTTTATTTGTAGTATTGAATGCTAAACTTTGATGAAGATATTTGAATAGTATCGAGGTGTCAGCTAGGAATAAAATTTACAAAGACTGAAATATTTAATAATTATTCATTTATTGGTTTATTTGTAAAAACATGAATACTTTTTGTCAAAATAGCAGCACAAGCGTGAAAATGAAACAATCGAAATGCAAATGACCATAAACGTTTATTTTATTTAGAGATATTGAAAAAGGTAGACATGATCAACTAAATATTGGATAAACAAGTCCGCAAATGAAAGCATTAACATGATAATTCAAGAAATTATTGGTCTAATTGATCAAATGTTCAATTCATAAAAAAAAGATGAACCATGGCACCAATGAAGATTATGAAGCATAATATTGAGAAAAAATAGAATAGAAAACTATATGCTGTATGGTAGAACGAATTTGGAATCAATATATCATCGACAGATACTTCACGCTCATAAATAAAATACATGTCATAATTATATTTTGTCTTATATGAATCTAACATGATTAGTCCATTTGTATATGGTACTGCTTTAGCAATAATAGATATTGACTTAGGTTTAATGATCGAAAACTTAATCAATATATCACCAACAATACATTCATCGTTTTTTGAGAAACCAACCAAACGACGTTGTTCTAAATATTCTACAAGTAATAAAATATTTTCTGGCTCTAATAACTTTTACGATATATTTTCAGGTGGAGTAAGTTGATTAAAGTTAATATTTCTAGAAACATTAAGGAATGATAAAGTTTCATGAAAATGCTCATATCAAAATAGAAACACGAGTTGATAGCGTCAGATGTGTCTTTTCAGAATATGTAGGACTTATATCGATTTCGAAGCCTTTTATGAATAGTTCAAGAGTTCTTTCTGAATTCGTCCAATGTCCCATTAAAAGAACTAGGAGAAGCTTAAAATAAAAAAAATCGTAAACTTCTCAAAAAAGTACCAAAACGTTGAGGGTGAATGTGGGTGTCGATATTGTATTCATTTCACATCCACGCCCACATCCTACAATACTCTATAATGATGTCAAAGCAAGATTATGCTACAGCCAAAAGTTGATCAGTACTATTTTTCTGTTCGATACTCGAGGTTAAATAACTTTCGATAAGCATGAATTGTGATATATAATATACTGTTTATTTACTTCAAAGAAAAAGTTAGTGTGCTAAACTATAATAAACTATTTTTTATTCACCTGCTATTTTTGTTTCAGTTTGCAGTTGATTGATTGTTGGTGG